TAATTATTAATTACTTATATCTACTACACTACGTAGTACGTATATATATATATATATATATATATATATATAGTTCAATTTATGTAGGTAGCTTGCTTTGATCAGAAGTTAATATTAATTGCTCTTGAATGCTCTACATTTTGTTTCTCTTGTCAACCCTAGCAGCCAGAGAACACAAAACTTGGCCAGTTTAGATAAAAGACGCTGTATTTGTGGTAAAAAAAAATTATTTTCTTGTTTTCCTTTATTGTCTGTGTTCAATTTATTTTTCACTTAACAGTCCTGAACTTGTGTTGTGCAGGAATAATTATTTTCCTGTATCTCTGTTATTCTGAATTATTTGCCATCTAAACTTCTGAATCATCATATATATGCACATAAAAGGTATATAATGCAAATAAATAAAAACAATTTCAAAGACAAACATACTTACAACAATTAAGTTATGTTAATTATTCAAATACATTTTTACTTACCTCATTGTGGGTCAAGAAATTTACTGTTGATTTCATTGTACAATAGGTAGTTGACTGGCTGAATAGGGCCGACAACCTTAATGCTGATACTGATGAAGTTTGCTGGCAAATTAACTGGTCTATCTGATTTATCTATTTACAAACAATTTTTTTTTTATAAGATACTTTGTTAAAACTGTGAATTTTGTTCACATATGAATAATTAAAAGATATACAGACAAAACATCTAAATGTTGAAGTGGGAGTTTTTGGCATAATATCATATTTTGTTGATACACTAATAGAAGTTTGATTTTTTAACTGTATTTGAAACATTTCATTATCAAATACCCAAGTATGTCATATGTGATCACCAGCTCAGAAGTCAGGCAAACAGTATCACTACCATCATAATCACCCAATTTCATGCTATTAATGGGATATTGCTGTTTGGAAGACTGGTAATATCTCCTCACTAGCCTCTAGTTGCAGAAAAACTCTAAAAAGCTCAATTCAACTTTTGTTGCAGTTCACTAGTACTCTTGCTTTTTCTCACCAAGAATTTGTATGAAAAACATTTATACTACCACTACTATTATAGTTGATACAACAACAAGAAAGAAATACTGCAGGTACACTAAATTTTATAAATATTACATGTGTTTTCATCTATTAGAAACTGTTTCTCAATGTTAGTTCATTATAAGCTTTTAAACACTAAACTAAAACATTATGGATATATATACACACACTGTCTAAAAGAATAACTGGACATGGAAAAATGGAATAGAAAAAAAAATTAAAAAAGGTAAAATGGTTCATTTAAAATACCCAAAATGCTTTCTTGTTATATTGAGCTGACCATAAGTGTAAGGAAGGGGTCTATAAAGCTAAAATCTCCAACTAAAAAGCTCAAAATAACCTGAATTATGTAGAAAACCCCTATCTAAGGTTTTTTTTTTTAATATTTTCAGTGTGTTTCTAAGTTACATCTTCTGATATAATACTGAAATTTGCTTGTTATTTTATTTGTTATTTAATTGTCAGAGGGTTTGATTTTTGAATAATAGTTTTTGATTAACACTTTCACTATGAGCTCGGCTGAATCGACTGAGTTCATGACCCCAAAGTGACCATCATAGTTTGTGCACTATAGCTTTTAATAAGTGCTGTGTATCTTCATGAAATCTAGCAAGCTTTCAGCAAACATTACAAGTGTATTGTACACAAAAAATCAGAAGTTTTACTATAATTTCTCCATGAACATATATAGTCAAAGTGTTGACTTCTCCAAGTGCAAAGTGATTTTTATGTTGAGATTAAAAATACTTTTCTTCATTTAAAATATTTCATTTGCATAATCTCTAAAACCTCCTAAATAAATATTGTTTTTTCAGTAAAACTTTATATTTTATGTATTATTTTCTTTACTCTAACTACATACACATTCAGTCAATTTGACTGACCTCCTAACAACATACAAAGATACAAAATAAATCTAAATTACCCTTTTTTCTTTCTAGAATGATTTCAAATTGTAACAGAAAATTACAGATGTTTATCCTAAACAGCTTAAAGCTCATAACAGTATACATCTGTTTCTACTTAAATTTATTATTTTATTGCCCTTTGAACAATGTCTAATAAATAATCCTACCACAGAAGTTGTAAATCACTTAGTAACCATGTAGCTTATGTTACTAACGAATTATGTAACACACAAACTGCTTGCAAGCATACCTTGTAAAGAATTTTTATTATTATCATTATTTTTCATTATCTCACCTGATCTAACTTTATATAACCTAATAAATTTCGAATTTTTACATTTCAATCACTTTTATAATAGTAAATAAAGAAAACGCATGAAAAACAAGAAATATAGTACTTACCTGTGTCTTCTTTGTTTATTCTATTGACAAAAGTTAAGCCTACTTATTTATACTAACGGTTTTGCGTGTTTGTAGTTAAACATAAAGCTACACAATGGGATATTTGTGCTCTGCACACCACAGGTATCGAAACCCGGTTTCTAGCATTGGAAGTCCACAGACATACAACTGTGCCACTTGGGGGCTATACTAATAGTATGGTTCTCATGAGAATAAACTTGAAACTGAACAACAAATTAAACAGTGCCTTGTACAGAAAACACTATAATATACTATGCATTTGATTGATTAAAACTTTGGCTTTGTATTAGTTACAAGTAATATAGCATTAAGCATCAGAGAACTATTCGCAATTTGTGAAAGATGAGATGTGACAAGTAGGCACAGCAAGTGGGTCTAATTTTCTAGTTTATGACTCCACAGACAAATAAGATTGAAGGCTATAATTATGTTTTGCTTAAGTAATATCTATATTATAATGAGTAATTTACATGAAATTCCTTACTTCTCAGAGGGTTGATAAATAAGTTAGAGAAGAGGGAAGACCTAGAAAAAATGTCACAATTCTCATACTAGAAGAGATTGAGGATTTTTTTAAATATTTCCTTATGAAATTAAGAACTTAAATCATATATAACATTAAACATTGATTTATTAACTATATTTTGATGTCAAGTTTATTTGTATGCAATGATAATAAAGTAGATTAATTCAATTTTGAATGTATCTCTAAAAAGTCATGACATGCCCATGTTGACTGTATTGATGGGTTGTGTTGTCCATGTTGCATATGTTTATAGGGACAAAAGAAAATATATGTATTCCTTGATCAGAGCACTAGTTTAAACTTAATTAGTGGCTTGAAGACAAGTCTTAAACAGAAATAGAAGGAAAAGTGTGATATGTAAGCATGCCATGCATTTTATACGTTCTTATTCTAATGTAGAAGTTTAATACATTTTAGCATAATATGTGGTCTGAAGTCATTTTAGCTACATTTGTTCCTTGCTATTATATTGTGGCCACACCTATTCTGCCCTTGGCAGGAATAGCTGTAATGCTAAACTCTGTTTATAAAGTTGTAAAGCAGTGTCTTACAATGGTATGTCAGGTGATATCTTGAGATTACAGTCTCCCCCATGTTTGAATGAGAATGACCAGCCACAGGGGTTGAACTCGTTGTTATGGTTAAATGTTTCCTGTTAAAAAGAAACACTAGATTTAAATATTCTTGTTCTTGATCCAAAGTGAATTGTTTAGCAAGAACACATTTCAAGAAAAGAAAGCCAGTCTAATTAATTCATTAATCCAGCAAGATGCAGCCATCCAGCATCCAGAAGAAAGTACACACACCGTGTTTGTCTTTGAATTAATAGTATTTTCATTGTGTGTTACACATCGGGTCCAGTCTGTTTATTTCAATGTTAAAACTCAGTTTTAGCTAAATTGAGTATTACCTTGTAACATATCCTGCCAATCCTCCTGTTATAAGGCTGACCTACTTAATAACTTACTTAATAAATGTGAAAATATCACACTGGCCCAAAACACTGTGAACAATAAAAACAACTAGAATGAGATTTCTTCAAAAAACTAGTGGGTAGTGTGTTGATGTACAGACTCCACACATGATTCCAAAGTCTCAGGTACATGACTGAAAACATACTGCTGAAGAAAAGAACCCATTCGTAAATCCCTCAGATAAAAGGGGGAAGTAAATGAACCTGGGACAAGGCTGCATCTCAACCCAGGAGATCCCAACAACAGAGAAACCATGTGTGTAAAGCAAGAGCCAAGGACAAAAATGACCCAACCTAGAGGTAATTAGAGAGACATTTTTCCTCGAAAATCCCTCAGGATCTCTGTGGATCGCCTTGGACAGGAGATGGATAGTAGATAAATACCATAGAAGAGAAGTAAGGGTAAGACAAAGGTGGGAAAACTGGGCATGGGATAAATGTAGTAGATAAATACCATAGAAGAGAAGTAAGGGTAAGACAAAGGTGGGAAAACTGGGCATGGGATAAATGTAGTAGATAAATACCATAGAAGAGAAGTAAGGGTAAGACAAAGGCGGGAAAACTGGGCATGGGATAAATGGACAGGAAAATCAAGGACTGCCACCACACAGGTAAAATTGACCCCAACTGATGAGAGTCGAGAAACAGACAGTTCCCGTAGTTCATGGGAGGTGAGGCATGTCGGCACCTTCAACCAATTGTGAAGCAAATTTCTCAACATGAACCCTAATATCCCTCAGATAGGAGGGCAGTAAATTAACCTGGGACAAGGCTGCATCTCAACCCAGGAGATCCCAACAACAGAGAAACCATGTGTGTAAAGCAAGAGCCAAGGACAACAAACGACCCAACGTAGAGGTAATTAGAGAGACGTTTTTCCTCGAAAATCCCTCAGAATCTCTATGGATCGCCTTGGACAGGAGATGGATAGTAGATAAATACTGTTACACCTCCGGTCGTTAGTTAATTTTTCGTAAAAATTCTTTCCGAAGAAACTTTATCGATATAAGTCTTTTCTTAAATAAAACTGGTTTATTCTTTCTAAATACAACTTTGCAATACATTTAATTTCCACAGTCGCGCTATAACAAACGCTATAATTCACAACGATTGCCTCACGTGCTCGACTTAACTGTCAATTACGAATTACAGTGTTGCCGTCACTTCTTGGTCATCTTATATAAAAGAATACCGTACATCTAGTAAACTCCCGAGGATTCATGAAGCTTCGAGAATATGACGTGTTACTGGCGTCACGTGACCTCCACTGTCGTAACAATACCATAGAAGAGAAGTAAGGGTAAGACAAAGGTCGGAAAACTGGGCATGGGATAAATGGACAGGAAAAATCAAGGACTGCCACCACACAGGTAAAATTGACCCCAACTGCTGAAAGTCGAGAAACAGACAGTCAGCCTGATGGTAAGCTAATGCAAACTGATCCGTAACTCATGAAAGGTGAGGCATGTCGGCACTTTCAACCAATTGTGAAGCAAATTTCTCAACATGAACCATAATATCTGGAGAAGGTAAGAAAACTAAGTACTGAAAAATTCTTCAAGAATGTAAAGATAAAAAAAAAAATAATGATGAAATTCCAAAACAAAAAACATCTTGACTCAAGTACTGCCAAAATGACTGTTCAGCAGAATTGAATAGAGGGAGTGACATGCATCAAGAGAGTGTGTCACACTCTTATTGGTAGAGGGTTTTTGCATGATAATTTGCTTGTGAAATGCATTGGAATTAGTCAATTCCAAATGGCTGGGAGTTTCAAGGCTTGTGGCATGAAGAAAAAGGTTTTGCATTCAGAGGGCAGCACGGAATGAGAATAGCTATTTATGTGAGAAGAGGTAATGTACCATATCGAATTCAAATCTTAATTATGCAATGATTATGTAGTTAACTACTGATTATGTGGTCATATGTTAATTATGCAAAAAATGCTGTATTTACATAATCATGTTAAATAAAATAAAAAGTTAATATTACCCATATAATAAGTCAGACTTTAACATACACTTAACTAAATAAAATGAACAAAACTAGAAGAAATAAAAAAAATTATTTTTGTAAATTTTATATACTTCTTTCATTTTTTTTTCAATCTGTGTAAAACTATTCTCTTGAGGTATATAATATACAAAAATGTCCATTCTTAGAAAAACCATATTCTGAGAAAAGCATTTAAAGAAACTGAAATTCTATTACCAAATCAGTTATTATCTTATTCTAAAATGTACCGTGTAAAACAAACTAATAATTACAGATAAGAATTGGTATGGTACCATATAGGAGCTATTCAAACTATACCTTTAATAAAGAAGAAAAAACTGATTAATAGATTAAAAATCAAATAAGGGTAAACACATGTATCTGAAGCACATTCTATCAAAAATTAATTACTATTTTAGATGTGTGACTAGCTTTAAAACATCATATTAAGTAAATTGTAAAGGTTGTATTTTATAAACAATTAGTAATTATTTTTTCTTTATAAAATGTTGCTCAAAGCATTTCACTGATCCCTTCTCTATTGGCTAATTCAAACAAATGTACTTTAATATGTTTTATATTTCATGTACTTGTCTTACTTGTATGGCATTCTGCAATGTGTCAAAGAAACTCCAAATGCAGAAGTGACTAATCTCTTAACATGTTTTTGACATAAGTATAATCTTGCACAATATGGATTATAAAGATTGAACTTACCACCTCATTTTTGTATTTCACTTTTGTTGAAGGAAACTTGCGGTGCTTACTTGAACTAGAGCATGGTAGAACTTGCTCAGTTTTGAATGAATTTTTCTGTACCACTGAAGATACATTCATCTTAATGTCTATTTGGAAACAAAATGAAGATAAATGTATGGCTCTTTCCAATACCACTTAAATTTAAATATTCTGACTAAAACTTTATACTAAAAATATATAAATTTTAAAATATAAATAAAACAGGACTACAATTTTTTATACTGTTACGTCTTCGTTTGTTAATTAACTTTCGGTAACTTCGTTCCTACGAAACTTTAGCGACACAAGTCCTTACTTAATAAAACTGGTTTATTCTTTCCGAATATAACTTTATGATACACTTAATTTCAACAAACGTGCTAAAACAAACGCTATAACAACGAACATGCTCAATAATACTCTCTGACTGTAGATCAATTACTCACTGTCTACACACACACATTATCCGTCACGTTGTCACCCTCTTTTATATACCAGCCTACCCTATATCTAGTAAATGCTAGAGCATTTGCCAAAGTACAGGATAGTTCTAGAAAGTAGAGGGCGTGAGAATAGTCACGTGATCTCGATGACGCAACACTGCCCCTCCTTAATATTGTTCGTTCCGAACAATAACCACATAC